TATTTTAGTCTTTAATTGACTTTTTTGTTTTCTGTTTTGTCTAACAAATAACTCCTTTATCAATACATCATTTATAGGTAGTTTATCTAATTAATCCTAACATAAGCTAAAAGTTTTTTGAGTGTAACCGATTATGTTTACCTTTTTGTTCATTTTGGTGATTTTTGGTCATTTTGGTGATTTTATGTTATTTTTTATTATTTTTTTTATTTTATTTTTTTGCATGTAACAGCATCCTACTTTTGTGTTTTGTTTTTTTTTTTTACTTTTGTTTTTTCTGAAGGGCAAAATGTTATTGGCGTGTTTATGTTATTTTTTAGTTTTTTTTTGCATATAATAGCATCGTACTTTTGTGTTTTTGTTTTTTTTTTTTTACTTTTGTTTTTTCTGGAGGGCAAAATGGGCAGATGGGTGACATTTTCATGGTTGTGTTAGACAGAATATGGTCCCAGGGGTATTTTAGTCTTTAATTGACTTTTTTGTTTTCTGTTTTGTCTAACAAATAACTCCTTTATCAATACATCATTTATAGGTAGTTTATCTAATTAATCATAACATAAGTTAGAAGTTTTTTGAGTGTAATCGATTATGTTTACCTTTTTATTCATTTTGGTAATTTTTGGTCATTTTGGTGATTTTATGTTACTTTTTATTTTTTTTTATTATTTTTTTGCATATAATAGCATCCTACTTTTGTGTTTTGTTTTTTTTTACTTTTGTTTTTTCTGAAGGGCAAAATGGGCAGATGGGTGACATTTTCATGGTTGTGTTGGACAGAAAATCGTCCCAGGGGTATTTTAGTCTTTAATTAACTTTTTTGTTTTCTGTTTTGGCTCTCAGTTTTTATATAATTAATTTTTTTTTGAATTTTGTTGTTCATCTTTATATATCAAGTAAACTTATTATAGATTACATTCATAAAAGTTGTAATATTTATTCTCATTTCATTGACTTTTCTAATTTTTTTTTACAGATATGGCTACTTCAAAGATTACATTCATAAAAGACATTGACCCAGTCAATTCGGATGTCACTATCAAAGTGAAAGTATTGAAATTATGGACGCTCAATTCTAAATTTAATGATAACGAAAAGTATTCCATCGAAATGATTTTCTTGGATGAACAGGTATATTCTTATTGTTTTCCAAAATAATATTGCATTTTATCATTCATTTTTTTTAAATATACTACTTGATTACAAATTGATAATGTTGTCTTGTATATTGTTTAGGGAACTCTAATTCAAGCTAATGTTTTCCAAAACTTATTTTATAAGTTTGAAAAAAGTCTTCGTGAGGGATCCGTTTATGAAATTACCACCCTATCTGTTGCCAAACACAATCCACATCCGAAATCTACCATCTTTTCTGATCTTCCAAATAAAATAACCTTTGTAAGGGAAACAGAACTTAAGGATTCTCTTGATTTTCCGGAAAATGTTTTCGGATTATCTTTTGTGGATTTTCAGAAAATTAATTCCAAGGTTATCCCAACCCAAAGATCTGTTGGTACGTTTTCAAAAAATTTAATAAATACTAATTATTAATTAGTTTACCTAACATTATTTACTATTTTTAATATTAATACAAAATGAATTTCATAGATGTTATTGACGTGGTTGTCTCCCGTACTACTATTATCCCCTCTCAGAAAAAAGACAAGCAGAGAATCCATCTTGAGCTCAAAAACTTGGAGTTAGAAAAATTTCATTTTGAATATTTGTTATTTATTTTAATTTTTTTAGCACCTAATCTTTAATTTTGTTTTTTTTTCAGTGGTGTACATCTTAAGGTCACTTTGTGGGGTCATTTTGCCAACAAAGTTTCTGATTATCTTGACAATCATAACACTGATGATTGTGTTGTTATAATTGTGCAGTTTGCAAAAATAAATGATTATAGAGGTTTGTCACACAATAATTGTCAATTTATTTCTTATTATAAATATCTTTATAACATTTATTATGTTGTCTATAGGTAAATTCGGTGTTGCAAGTTACTATGATGTCACAACTGTCTTCATCAACACTGATATTGATGAAATCAAACAGTTTAGAGAAAAGTTGGTTACTTTCTTTTATGTTTATTTATTTTTAACTTATTGATTTTTTGTATTTATGTTTACTTTGTTACTTTCTTTATAATAAACATTCGTTTTTTTATTATATGACATTATATCACATTGAAATATATACTTATAATTAAATATTAATCAGGTTGGCTAAGGATAATGAATCTTCACAATCATCCGGTACCATCAGCTTGATTCGGACGAAACATGTTTCAATCAATGATGATTTCTTAAAAAATAATGAAGTTAAGACAATTTACAAAAGTAAAGAACCTGTCCAGGTAAATCAATTTTTATACAAACATATATTTATATGTTAATGTTTATGTTTATTAACATCTTGCTTTTTTTTGAAGTAGGTTGAAGAGTTCATCATTGTCGGTACTATAATAGGTATCCGCCAAGACAAACCTTGGTGTTACCAAAGTTGTCCCGACTGTCACGTAAAGACAGTAGAAATTCCGAATACCAATGAAGATGTGAAACTTTACAAGTGTACAAATGTTGAATGCAACAAGTCTACTAAAGTTCCTATCCCAAGGTTTTTTTTTAAATAATTTTAAAAAAATAATTATGTTTTTCTCTTTTTAATTTAACAATTTGAAATTGTTATAACTTTCTTTTTTAGATACATGATTCCAGTTTGTGTTCAAGACGATTCTGCTTCTACAATCTTAACTATGTTTGATCGGGAAGCATATGGGCTCTTGGGAATTTCAGCCAGAGATTTAGCAGAAAAACATACTAGGGTACATTAGCAATACTTTTTCAAATTTATTTATTTTTACCGTTCGACTCCAAATGTAATAGTTATTTTTACCATTTTTTCAGCTTGGATTCAGTTTGGGCATATATCCTCCTGAACTCAATTTTTTGAAAAATAAGCATTTAGCTTTTAAAGTGAGTGTCACGAAATATAATGTGAAATTTCAAAACAGTGTCTACACAATCTCAAGGGTAACGGAGGAAAAGCAAATAATTGAGACTTTGGAGAGAAAGTTACTTCAGTTGCAGGTTATCATTTACTATTATTTAAATTTATTATGCAAATTTAAAACACCATTTACTATTATTTTAAAGTATTTGCAAATATATCACATATAAAACATATATTGTCACATTTATAGCCTGCAACTTTAGAGTCTTTGAACGATGGACCATCCGACTCCAATTCCCAGGAAAAAATAGTTACCAAGGTATAATTTAACACTAATATAATGCCATTATAAGTATTTTACTTCTTCATTTTTTACATAATATGGTTTAATTTTTTGTTTTAAGGATTGGGTTTCACATTCTGATGAAAATGTTACACCGTCTACCGGGGATATTTTGACACCAACAAGTTCTAATCATGTAAAAAGTACTCCGATGAATTTAACACGCAAGTTTGAAGAAGTGTATGATGTGGAACAGTATTCGAATTCGTCATCAACAAAAGCACCACGTCTTTCAACTGGAACTGGAGAGGGGATCAAGCTTTTGATACCAAAAGTTGAAAAATAAGAAGACAAACATTTATTGAAACATTTCTTGCTTTAGCTTTATTTATAAGTACCCATTAAGTTTTTAATAATTCTTCAAACTTGGTGAAGAAGTTATTATGACATTGTACTTTGAAAAGTACAATTCACTACTCTTTTGCATTGATGGATTTTAAGACATTTATGTTTGGTTTTGTTTTTAATTTTATTGAATATTGTTTTTTTTATCATTTCGTAACTATTTTGACATTGTATTTTGAAAAATACAATTCACTGCTATTTTAATTTTCTTTTGATATGAATATATTTCTGTCCCTAAATGTTTGTTATGAAATTTTATGCCTTTCTTACAATTATCGATTTTATCATTGTATGCAATGTATTTTATGTCTTTCATTTGTGTATTTTATGCCTTTCAGTTTTGGTACTGATGATGTCCATGTTTAAAATAAGTTTAAAGAAAATAGAGGTTTTATTCCTTTTTTATTATTTTTGGAAAAAACGATAATGTAAAGTTTCATTCCTTATTTCTAGAGGGCAAAATGGGCAGATGGGTGACATATTGTTATATCTAATACATATATATTAATCATCATTTTTTATTTTCTAATACAGATATATTGTTATATCTAACTGAAATTTGAGTGTTAGATACCCTTATTTGCTATCTTAACAAGAAAAAGCTATACGTATGGAAATCGTCCCAGGGGTATTTTAGTCTTTAATTAACTTTTTTGTTTTCTTTAGTCTTTAATTAACTTTTTTGTTTTCTGTTTTGGCTCTCAATTTTTATATAATTGATTTTTTTTTGAATTTTGTTGTTCATCTTTATATATCAAGTAAACTTATTATAGATTACATTCATAAAAGTTGTAATATTTAAATAATTTCATTGACTTTTCTAATTTTTTTTTTAACTACAAAGTTTTTGTTTAAACTTGTGTAATGATATTGAACTAATTGAAGCACAATAAGTAGAAATTTATAAATGCTCATAAACACATAAATTAGAGAAAAGTATACTGAAATTATCATACTGTGATAGTTTCTTCTCAACCTAATGCAAACAAAGATGCATCCTAACCCTAACAAACAAACATATAATTAAAATTCCTATTATACCCATTTATAATCGTTTGATTTTATTACATTTTATACACCCCCGTCATATGAACACTGACTTATTTTAAAAATGCATCATTTTTGTTAATTTCAAAATACATGATAAAACACCAAGCGGGAAATCGAATATAAAACCAAAATTTCACATGCTGTATTTTGAAATTTACGCACATTAACAATGAAAATTCAAATTTCGATTTTCAAGTTCAATCACCTAAACAGTTTAATAAACGCCTAATCTGCAATCTATTCAAACAATTATTTCTGCATCTTCTGCAAAAAAAAAAAATTAGGTTTTACCTTGATTCCTCTTCTTCAAACGTGTTGCAGCATCAGAACCATTAATTCTTGAAAACCTTTTATCCAGATTTTGACCTCCATCCAGGTATCTTTCTTCTATACTATCTATTCATTCCTCTTTCAAAACCAAAATCGCCAATAAGGTTGAAAAAAAAGTCATTATTGATACCAAATTGATAATTTTTACCACAAAAAGTCAGATCGAGTCTTCGATTACTAACCCTTTTATTCGCCTAGCACGCAGTGAGTCGCCGATTCCACAATCGGCCGCCGTCGCTACCCTCTACATCTTCGTTGCAGTCGTTGCTTTCTTCTTTGCCTGCCGGAGTGTTTTGTTTCTCAAGGTATATTTTGGGTGAGCCACATAAGTTTAAAATAATAGTAAATGTTGTTTTAAAATTGCTTTGTATCTGTATTCATATATACGCATCTATTTAATATATGTAATATGTACATTCACATTTACATCTTTTGTTATTTTTTTATAACTATGCGGATTAATATGCTATTTAAAAATGAAAACTTGATATATGTTATTAATTAACAAATATGATATTATATGCAAAAATAATTATAATAATAACAATTTGATGTATAATCCAATGTAATTTTTATTTGATTGTGATTATTTAACTCTCCATATATACTTATAACATCTTTACAAATATATATCATCTTTTTTAACATTTAAATACTGTTTTTTTTGCAGATTCAACAAACAATATGGACTATAGTCATGCTAAAGAAAAGAGAAAACTTAGAAAAATATATTTGGATAAAAAAAATCCAAAATTTATTTTTCTACTTCAGTCTCTCAGTATTCATCAACCGTACATGTTTTAAACATGAAACAGAATGGTGATAGGATCAATTTTGTTTTTTATCAAACTTTTACTATTTTCAAGATTATAATACGAACGAATTACATATCTCTTAAAACGATTTATAAATCCTTTTAAGTATCTTGAAACATTTTAAATTTTTCGTTATATTTTGAATACATTTTATTGTAATATTTTTATCGTCTTTGTTACTTTTGTTTTATAGAACGAATGGACATGTATTATAATTATGCTAGAGAGAGAAGAAAGATTAGAAAGTTATATTAGGATAATAGAAAATCCAAAAGAATCTCCACCGCATCAACCGTTCAAAGTCCATATAATTTAGATGTTTTGAACATGCACGTCGATGGTAATCATTTTTCATACCTTCATTTCTTATAAATAATTACATATTTTTTTAACAAATGTTTACATTGTATAACAGAAATGTGCAATCCTTCTGGACAGCTGCTACCTTCAAAGAACTCAAAAAATATTGGTAACGAAAATACAAGCAATTATAAATCGTTTTCACATCAACAAAGAAGCTTAAAATCTCCTTCTTCAATTCTAAATGTTAAAACATCATTATCTAACATTTCCAATGGTATGAGTCATTTTCTACAACCTATTATCCAACTTTTACTATTTTCGAGATTATCATATGAACGAATTACATATCAATCTCTTAAAACGTTTTTTAAATCTTTTTAAGTATCTTGAAACATTTTTAATTTTCCATTACATTTTGAGTACATTTTATTGTAATATTTTTATCGTTTCGTTACTTTTGTTTTATAGAACGAATGGACATGTATTATAATTATACTAGAGAGAGAAGAAAGATTAGAAAGTTATATTTGGATAATATAAAATCCAAAGGAATCTCTACCGCATCAATCTTTCAAAGTCCATATAATTCTAATGTTTTGAACATGCACATCCATGGTAATCGTTTTCCATTTCTTATAAATATATATTTTTTTCTTTTCATACCTTGATTTCTTATAGATAATTATATATTTTTTAACAAATGTTTATATTGTATAACAGAAATGTGCACTCCTTGTGGACAGTTTCGACCTTCAAACAGCTCAAAAAATGTTGGTAACGAAAATACAAGTAACTATAAATCGTTTTCATATCAACAAAGAAGCTTACAATCTCCTTCTTCAATTCGAAATGTTAGAACACCATTATCTAACATTTCCAATGGTATGAGTAATTTTCGTCCACCTATTATTACTATCATTCATTAAATGTTTAAAAATTCTAGCAAAAATTATACTGTCTAATTCTTCTATCATTTTTTACAGGCATATATAATTCTTATAATAACATCCAAACACCAATATCAAATAGCAGACATCAATCTTTCTTTTCCAATGGCATGCAATCCATCAACTCGTCGACTATAATTCAACCTTCTTCTTCTGATAATTTAACAAGACGAAACCAGAGATTAAAAAGGAAGCCTACCAACATATCTGCAATTCCTATGTTTGACTTTACAATACACGGAGAAGTTAATGATCAACATACCCATGCAAACATAGTTAAAGGTGTATCAAAAGGTAACCATCACAATAAAAAAAGTTATTTGAATTAATTATTATCTTAAATTTATGCAATTGTTACAGCTACATAGATTGTTATATTTGACATTGATTTTTTTTAAACAGATTACATTGATCATGGTGACCAGAATGTTGTATGTCAAATATGTAATGCAAAGTTATGGACAACTGAATCTATTAGAGGAAAAGATAAACAGAATACAAGTTTTTCACTATGTTGTGGTTATGGCAAGGTTGAGTTGCCAGATTCTAAAGAAGCGCCACCAACTTACCTAAATCTTTTTCGTTCAACAGATTCTAAATCCAAATACTTCATTAACAACATTCGTCGTTACAATTCAATGTTCTCATTTACCTCAATGGGTGGGAAAGTTGATGCATCCATTAATAGTGGAAAAGCTCCATTCATATTCAGACTTGGCGGTCGAAATTATCATAGAATTGGAAGTTTGTTACCCTTAAATGGATCTAAACCAAAATTCTCTCAGTTATACATATATGACACCGATAATGAGGAGTCAAATAGGCAAACAATTTTTGGGTACATATTCACACATATCAAAATTATTTTATGTTTTTTCATTATTTTTCATTACAACTATTAACATTTAAATTACATTTTATTTTCTTACCTTTTTCTTTTACTGGTGGTGCACGTTACATGCAGCAGAACTATTTGGATGCTATGTCCCTTTGTAAATAGTTTGGATATCCAGATTTTTTTATAACTATAACATGCAATCCAAAATGGCCTGAAATCAAAAAGTTTCTTAAAAACACAAATCTCAAACCTGAAGGCCAGATATTATGTGTAGGATATTTAAAATAAAGCTTGATGCAATGATTAAAGACTTGCGAGAGAAAAAATTATTCGGAAAAGTTCAAGAAGGTATGTCTGATTTTAAAATTTCAATTTTACCATCTTCATATTTATAGTATAAATACTATCATAGCTAACAAAATTATTACATTTCATTTATTATTTATCTTTTTTTATCTATTTACATTACTGACGTTTTTTATTTTATTTTTTACTTTCCTTAAAAAAAATATATAGTTGTTTATACAATCGAGTTTCAAAAGCGCGGCCTGCCTCATAGTCATATATGTCTCTTTTTGCACTCCGATGACAAACTCCGTACTGTTGAACAAATTGATAAGTATATTTCGGCCGAGATTCCAAACATTAATGAAGATCCTGATTTGTATTCACTTGTGAGCGAGTTCATGATGCATGGTCCTTGTGGTGCTGAAAATATGAAATGCCCATGCATGGTTGATAATAATTGTTCAAAAAACTTTCCGAAAAAATTCTCCAATGAAACTTCAGCCGATGAAGACGGTTTTCCGATATATAGGAGACGAAATGATGGATCTTTTGTTGAAAAGTTTGGTGTCAAATTGGATAACAGACATGTTGTTGCTTATAACAAAGACCTTTTGAAAAGATATCAATGACACATTAATGTCGAGTGGTGCAATCAAGCTGGTTCTATAAAGTATTTATTCAAATATATCAATAAAGGTCCTGACAGAGCTACACTTGCTGTCATAAAATCGAAAAATGAAAGTGCTACTGATAATTCAGTAGACGAAATCAAAGAGTATTATGATTGTAGATATATATCTGCATGTGAAGCATCATGGAGAATTTTTGGTTATGATATTCATTATAGGTATCCTTCTGTGGTTAGACTTCCTTTTCATCTTCCTGATCAACAACAAGTTATTTATGATCCAGATGATGATATCGACAATATCCTTGACAAACCGTCTGTTGCATCTTTAATGTTCACATCTTGGCTTGAGTGTAACAAGATCTATAAACAAGCCCGAGATCTTACTTATGTTGAATTCCCTACAAAGTTTGTGTGGAAAGCTAATTCACGGAAATGGGAACCAAGGGAAATAGGATTTTTAATTGGGAGAATTCATGCTGTTTCACCTAAACTTGGTGAAACATATTTCTTAAGAATTCTTTTAAACAAGGTCAGAGGTCCAACATCTTTTGAAGATATCCGAACAGTAAATCGAGAAATATGTCCTACTTTTAGAGATGCATGTTACGCTTTAGGACTTCTAGACGATGATAAAGAGTATATTGAAGCTATTAAAGAAGCAAGCCATTCAGCTACTGTTATTACCTACAGTCATTATTTTCAATGATGTTGATCTCTGATAGTTTGGGAAGACCAATATTTGTTTGGGAAAATACATGGGAATACCTTTCAGACGAAATTCTTTACAATCAACGACGCCGGTTAAAGTCTCCTGGTATAATACTTAGCTTTTTATGAATTTAACCTTTTTTATATAAACCATATATTTGTATATTTTTTTTTCTAAGTTTATATTTACCATTCTACAGATTTATCCCTTACTGATCATCAATTGAAGAACTTGACTTTGTTTGATATTGAATCATTTCTACTTCGTAACAATTCCACCCTCAAGAACTTCAAAGGCATGCCTTACCTAGATTTTGATTGTGTATCTTCTTCTAATAATCGTTTGATTGCTGAGGAGTTATCTTATGACATCACAAGTCTTCAAAACGAATTTCAGACACTGATTGTTTCATTAACAAATGAACAACGAGGTGTTTTTGATGATGTCATGGCAGCAATTGAAGATAATAAAGGAGGTCTGTTTTTTGTTTATGGTTATGGTGGAACAGGCAAAACCTTTCTTTGGAAGACTTTATCAACAGCTATCAGATCTAAAGGTCAAATTGTTTTGACTGTTGCTTCAAGTGGTATTGCTTCTTTGTTACTAACCGGAGGTAGAACAGCACACTCTCACTTTGGTATTCCACTAAATCTTACTGAAAATTCAATTTGTTCTATAAATCGAGATAGTGATGCCTCCAAATTACTAAAACAAACATCGTTGATTATTTGGGATGAAGCACCGATGGTTCATAAGCATGCATTTGAAGCATTGGATCGCACTTTAAGAAATGTTTTAAGTTTTGGTAACGTTAGGAACTCACATATCCCGTTTGGAGGTAAAGTAATCGTATTTGGAGGTGATTTTAGACAGATTCTACCGGTTGTTTCTAATGGTAGCAGACAAGAAATTGTCAACGCGTCGTTAAGTTCTTCATATATATGGACAAATTGCAAAGTTTTAAAATTAACAAAGAACATGAGGTTGACTGTTGGAAAAGATCCGTCTGAAATACAACAAACAAGGTTATTTGCAAATTGGCTCTTGGATATAGGAGAGGGAAATGTTGGTGGTTTTAATGATGGTGATGCAGTTATTCGTATTCCTGAATATCTTCTTATTACTCAATCTTCTGATCCTATAGGTTCATTAATTGAGTTTGTATATCCATCACTTCTTGACAACTTGAACGATCCCAAAATTTTTGAAGAAAGATCAATACTTGCACCGAAAAATGAAGTTGTTCAAGAAATAAATGATCGTCTGCTTTCATTGTTTCCTTGAGAAGAAAAAGAATACCTCAGTTCATATAGCATCTGCCAAACAGAGTTTATTCACAATCAGTTTGATGAGAGTTTATATTCACCTGATGTTCTAAATGGACTTAAAATCTCCGGTTTACCAAACCATAAGTTGATTTTAAAGGTCGGTGTTCCGGTTATGTTACTAAGAAATATCGACCAGAAATGGGTTATGTAATGGTACTAGACTTCAGGTCGTATCATTGGGTAATCGCGTCATAGAAACAGTGGTCTTAACTGGAAGTAACATTGGGCATCGAGTTTTTATTTCAAGGTTGTCTTTAACACCTTCAGACAACAAAATTCCATATAAGTTCAAAAGGAGACAATTTCCCCTAGCGGTTTGTTTTGTTATGACCATAAATAAAAGTCAGGGCCAATCGTTAAAAAGGGTTGGGTTGTTTTTGCGAGAACCGGTTTTCTCACACGGTCAGTTATACGTTGCTTTATCAAGAGTAAAGAGTAGAGAAAGACTGAAGTTATTGATTTTAGATAAGGATGATAATTTGACTAATAAAACTTCCAATGTTGTGTTCAAGGAAGTATTTCAAAATTTATGTTGAAGTTTTATGTTTATTTTTTTAAATCAAATAAAGTTGTACTTATTTACCATCCACAATCAAATGCTTTTTTATATTTATTAACTATTTTGTACTATATAAAATTTTTAACTTACCTCCTGTGGTTTCCACGGGTTTTAACCTAGTATATATAATATGAGAGGCCTCGTGCTTCTATTATCTGCTATCTTATAATAATAAATAATAAATATAATATATAAAAGTATGTTTCAAAACATTTATCTTCCTTCATTTATTGGAAGGATTATTTTGGTTTAATTTAATCAGATATTCTGGATTCAAGATTAAGGCTGTGTTTGGCGTACTAGCTGAAAAGCTAGCCGTTAAATAAAAAGATAGCTGATAGCTGAAAAGCTAGTTGATAAAAAATATCGTTTGGTAAAACTAGCTGAAATATATAAAAGGACATGTAAGAGTATGTGTTTCTATAATTAATTAAGGGACGTATTTGAAAATTTTTAAAAAAAACTCGTAAAAAGCTAGTCCAAGTAGTTTTTCAAAAAGTTAGCTTATAAACCACTTTTTGGCTTACCAAACACGACAACATCAAAAAGCTCAAAAAATAAGCTAGTTTATCAGTTAATTGTGCCTGTGGCGTGCCAAACACAACCTAAGAAGCGGTCCAAGAATCACAAGATTACAAATCCATCCTGAAAGTCGAGATGATCAGGTTTTTCTATTTTTATTCTTTCTTTCTTGTATCTTATATTTAATTAAATATGAATGATTCCAGAATATTAACATGAAAAAAAAAAGTTGTTCCACATATTGTGAATACGAAAAACAAGCAAGATGAGGGAGAAGGCCAAAAATTTGTCATGACAACCTCCGCATCCTCCACGTAAATCAAGTCAAATTAAGGCATTGTCTTTTCATAAATTCTTTGTGTTTAGTTGATTTTATGGTTTTAAGGTTGGGGAAATTCTTGGTGTTTTGTTGTTGATGTAGACAAGTGTACGTTGGTTACGTTTTGTGCTTATTTAAAACTAGAATTCATAAGCCCATCACACATATTTATTTTTAGGCTTATCATCTGTATTTATATCTTTATTTATTTATATTTATATTTATCTATATCTATACCTATACTTATACGTATCTATCTATATCTATATATCTTATAAGCAAACATTTTTTATTTTTTATTTTTTATTTTTATACATTTGAAACCCCCTAATTTAATTGATACTACCCAAAAGAGTTTTTATTAATGATTATTAATTGGTTATTTAATGTAAAATAACATGAACAACATCAAACATAACAAGAACAAATATAAGTATTGTAAATAATAGGAACATTTTGTCATATTTTGCAATGCTAGGACCTCTAAAGGAGGAAAAAAGACTTTTCTATAGATATTGTGTTTCATATAAATTTTAAGATTTTTTTTGTCTTACCAATTGTTGAATGTTTAGTTTCTTCCGGTATGTCACATGTTATATTTAGGATACACTTTTGCGGAGAGATCACCTAACTCCATTCCCTAGAAATACTACTTTCATATTTGGGTTATACATATACAAACAAATCTTACTAATCAATTTAAATTAATTGAATAGATTTGGTTTTCATCATCCTTCCTTCAACAATGGAAATTATCTCCACCTTCACTATTTGACACTTCCATATGTATCCATGCGTGTAAGAATTTTTATTTTTCTCAAGAGTTTTTGTAAAAACCATTTTAATATCTAAGAATATTAAAATAGATGGAAACCAGTGAAATACTCATCGTTGGGACCGCAAGGTAGATATGTTGAAGCCCGGAATGTATTGAAAATTTGAGGTCAAGTTAGCAAATGTATCGCTACATTTAAATTATATTTAAATTGTTTTACATTTTAATTGGCCTTAGTTTCCATTAAAGTCATGGTTTCCTCTTTGATATTATACAATATCACATGTGAACTAAATGCATGTCATAATTATTTTGAATGTTAAACTGATACAACTGATAACCCGATAACAATGAGGTGTTATGCTTCTTTTCAAATCATTAGAATGTAATATTTGTAGTTTTCATAATTTTTTGTTTGTATATATACATTTAATCTCAACCAAGTATTTTTGTGATAGGGGTGTGTTTGTCTTAGTTTCTTATAGAAACTAGATGTTGGTATCTAGACTATACCTATGTGGTTTTAGTTTGCCGATGTTGGAATATGAAAAATAATATGATGCATAGATATGAATTTAAAAAAACAATAAGTTCATCACATTAGTTACTTGGTCGATATTGTAGACTACAAAATATATATAAATGTAACTTTGTGCATTTAAAGTGGCGTAGTCGGATTGAAGCGGCGCAGTAGAGATGTATGGTGATAAACACACATAGGTTTTGATATTTCGTAATATTTGTTAGATGTTTTAACTTTGGTAGAAAAAAACTCATCAAATACAGAAACCAACATTAATATATTTCTAAAAATGAAAATATTATATTTTGAATAACATGTAATATTAGGGTAAAATATGAAAGGTGTTATGATATAAATATCAATAACATATATTAATTTTAATATTTATTTATTAAAATTATAACTATGTAAACGCGTAAGTATTCGTCTAGTTTTAACATAATAAAGATGAGTTATTCGCTGGAATATCTTTTTTAGAAGTGATACGTATGAGATAATCATATTTAGATATTCTTCATATCTATAAAAAAATTCACTTATCTCTCGAAAAAAAGATACCACGAATTTGTGACATATTTTTCCAACATATTTGTTGATTTTGATTATTATTGAGAAGTCGAAAAAAGAAATCGATAAATTGATGTTTGTGATAGTCATTTTACATGACCTTATTTTTCTGAAGTAGTAAGATCCAAAATGTTCAATGTTTGAAAGATAAGGAAATGAAATAAATAACCATGAGAAATTAAAGTCATAGATAAGTTGCAAAATGATCAAAATAGTAATAGTCATTTTACATGACCAACAAAGGAAATAATGTTAAACATGCTATATTTATATGATATATAATGAGTTTAGAGTGTTTATGGTGTAAGTAAACCTCTAGGTGCACTATAATAATAAAAATAGTCCACAAGAGGCTCTTGTATGCACTTAAATAGAAATAATATACAAGAATAGGTGCACTATAATAATAATAGTCCACAAGAGGCTCTTGTATGCACTTAAATAGAAATAATATACAAGAAGCCCTTGTGTGCACTTAAATTTTATAATAAGACTTAATTTATTCGTAACTGGAGATCTGAAATGAATGAGAGATAGCCCTATAAATAAAAGTGGCGGTCTATATAACAAAGAACATTTAGAAAAAGAAACCAGATAAAATGAATTTATGATGAAGAAGATATAATCATTTGAAGATGGGTAGTTCAAAGTCTAAAAGTAACAAAAATAAGTGAACACTCTAGTTCACGAGTTAATAACTCAAAATAGGGAAACATGTAACCAAGAGTCAGTAAGAAGAAGTTGTAGAGCTCGTGGCCAGATTTCAATAGATATAATACTAAAAACTTGGACTTTAGATAAAGAAGTTATGGATAATTGAAGATAAGGAAAAAGTCAAGTAAATGTAAAAGACTTAGGCTGTGTTTGGAGCGCCATAGCTAGATGATAATCTAGCTTATTTTTCGAGCTTTTTTATGTTGTCGTGTTTGACAAACCAAAAAGTAGTTTATAAGTTAGCTTTTTAAAAACTACTTAGACTAGCTATTAGGATTTTTTTTTAATAATTTTTCCGAATATACCCTTTAATTAATTAGACCTGTCGAAAAAACCAGAAACCCGTTCTACCCACCCGACCCGTTCCGAATTCGGGTAGAATGGGTCGGGTAGAACGGGTAACGGGTATGAACATTCGGGTAATAGGTTAACCCGATAATAATATAGGTCGGGTTTTAGGTATGGATATTTATTTTCGGGTATACCCGAATACCCGAATTCGTTTTTTAAATAATACCAAATATACAATGCAGTCACGTACGTACACTTCAAATAAAACAAAACCCTTCGTTTCCTTCTTATGAACGACGGCTCGACAGTCGACGCAAACTTGCAAAGTGAATACAACGCTGAAGGTGAAGTCCTGAACAGTCATCACAATTCTCAGTTTCTCACTATCGCATGGAATGGAATTAAAAAAATACATAACACATTATAATGATTTGTATTGTTATTATATATGTACTTGTTAATTGTATGAAGTATTTTCCTACCCGATTCTTTATTAAACCAACCAACATGTAAAAATAAAAAAAAAATTATCAATAAGTGTTATTTAAGAAATTTTCGGGTATACCCGATAATTACTCGACCCGACCTCAAACCCGAATACCCGAAAACCCGAATTACAATATAGGTCGGGTATCGGGTATTATTTTCTTAAGGAAATACCCGTTCTACCCGAAACCCGAAAATTTTACCCGTTCGACACCCCTATAATTAATTATAGAAACACATTCTCTTAAATGCCTTTTTATGTAATTTTATATCTTTCAGCTAGTTTAGCAAACGTCATTTTTTATCAAGCTAACTTTTTAGCTATCAACTAGCTTTTTATTTAACAACTAGCTTTTCAGCTATCAACTAGTTTTTCAGCTAGTACGTTAAACATAGCCTTAGAAATATTTATAGGCCCGAAAAGAATTCCAATGTACACTAGGTACCGACTTTAGAACTTAAAAATGATGAATTCGTTAATATGAATTTTTTATTTAACAACTAGCTTTTCAACTAGTACGTCAAACATAACTTTAGAAATATTTATAGGTCCGGAAAAAATTCCAATGTACACTAGGTACCTACTTTAGAGCTTAAAAATGATGAATTCCTTAATAGGTTGAATTCGTTTCTTTCTATTTTGAGAGTTATTTAGTTATCTTGATGTGTTGGATTTATTCCTTTCGTTGGAGTTATTAATTAACCGTTAGATTTATTACTTTCATCGTCTTGGAAGTTTAGCTACAAATTACCTTCATAGAGTAATCTTGTTCCTTCTATATGAGCAGTTTACTTAGGAAAGGCCCTAAAGCTTTCAGTTTTGAGTTAATATCTTTTTATAGTTAGTTTCAACCCACAATGTTTGTATTATATATAAAGAAAAGTTTCAGTGACTAACTAATTGCCCTGTACATTACACTTACAAGTTACAAGTCGTTAACACATTAACCCTAAATTTTGATTATGAATAGAGAAATTCTATAAGTACCCTCAATTGTTTTGTGTACCTATCTTATGTGAGTGCAATAATGTTTGTGTATTCCATAATGTTACGATTTATGTAAGCACCCTTATAAATAAACCTCGTTTAGGTTCAAATCCCACTCGTATGCACACTAGAGATTAAAAAAGTTATCGGTAACAAAGTGAAAAGATATCTACACAAATCCAAAATAGATATATTTCACTTTATAAATTAATAGAAACATCTAAAAGTAAATTAGTTACATAACCAAATTAAATTGCTTCCCAACTCCTTACTCCAAATTGGTGTGGCGAGATTGGATTTCATGGGGGCTTTGACCCAAAACTGAGCTCAATTTGAAAACCACCATCTCAAATAATACAAACATCGCCCCTTCATATACACTCCCCATCGGAAGCAATGGTGTCGTCGTTTCTTCCATCGCAACACCATGATCCGCCATCGTCTGAGCCGCTATATACGCCACCACGCTCGCATACTTCACCGACGATCCTGACTCCGGCTGTGCAGTGAGAATCAGCACACGACCGCCGTTTGTTTTTGCGACACCACATATGGCATCGACGGTCGAGAAACCACCTGGACCAGCCGATGCGATAAGGAGATCGGAGGAGGAGATCGGAGGCGTAGTCATGTCACCGACGCAGTGGGCGGAGAGTCCCAAGTGTGCGAGCCTCATGCATAGAGTTTTCATCATCAGACCTTCTCGACCTACTCCGTAAACGAAGACTTTTCCACGGCGGGCGGCGGCGGAAGCTATTTCGTCGACGGTGATCTCCAAGGGAGAGGGAGTGGTGGTGGAGGATTTGGTGAAGACGGAGTTTATTTGATTGCAAATTCTGGTTGCGAGAGTTGACATCGATTCGGCGGTTGATTCCTCCATTGCCAATTGCTCACCTGAACTTTCTTTGCTTTGCTGCTGCTCTTCAAAGACTTCAACACATTCAGATTCTTATCTTTTCCATCACGTGCGTGCCACGAGGAGTGGGTCTTTTTTCAAGAAGAAGTGGCCTCCACTAACCAGGTTTTTGGTAATATCCATTTGCGGCTGATCTTTGTAATTTGTTTCGGATAATGGATTAATGAGATTGTATTCAGTTAAACCATAAAATTCTAAGAAATCAAATAACTATTTAGATAAAATAAAAATAAAAATCTAAGCCTAAAAATGAAGGCGATATATTTGTGAGTATTGAGAAAAAGTGTATGTTTTGTGTAATCAGAAAGAAATGACCCTTAAACTATTACCTTTTTGTATACACATGAATTGATGCATTAAAGATTATACTTTGTATAATATAACTTTTTAAAGTATAAATTGTTATATACGGATCAACATCCAATTAAAAAAAGACACCTTAGGGGTTTAGCGTGAGCATGCTTCAATTCAATTTGATTTTTTGATTAAAACTGAAATTGAAGTCGAACCTAAAATTTGAACTTTTTTACTTTGGAAAGCCAAACCATCGTTTTTCGGTTCTTCGATTTTATGTTAGTCCAAAAAAATGGTATATGGATTTGATATCTCCCGACTTAGGTTTTTATATAATTTTGTTATGCTATGTAAAACCTACCTCCAATTTCAAATACTATCTTCCAAAATTGATTAGAATGCTTAATTATATAGATGTTGTTAATTAGTATTAAATCATATGATACTACATATAATTGAGGAATATATATAGGGAAAAGTTGAATAGAGAACCATAATTATTGGTTCTCCAATGAACCAAATCTTTTTTTAAGTTCTAGAGCTTATTCTTTATCGAAAAAAAAAACTAAAAATATTTAAATTCATAACTTAACATTGTGAATGTTAAATATATTTTTCGGATTCACCGTGTGAATTTAGATTCACATTGTGAATCTTCAAAGATTCACATTGTGAATTTGACGAAAAAAAAAATAATTTTTTTATCGAATTTGATATCATTGGAAAAAGGATAAAAAATTATGAATTTCTGTATTTTTAGTTTTTTTTTTTTTTGATAAAAAATAAGTTCTAAAAGTTAAAAAAAAGATTGGTTCCTTGGTTAATTATGGTTCTCTATTGAACATCACCCTATATATATATATATATATATATATATATATATATATATATATAATATATATATATATATATATATATTGGATAAAATTATAATTTTTGTTAGTTTTTTCGAATAGAATTAATACCTAAAAAGCAAAAAAAGAAGAAGATATTTTAATAAGGAAGTTAGTTAAAAGAATTAACCATTTACTAAACTGTCGTTTTAGTTGATTAACTAGGAATTAGTTTAGACGGTAAGATAAAATAATTAATAAAAGATGAGGAATACGAAATCGGTTCCTTGGTTGGTTAAAATTTTATGATTTGGTGTTAAAAACGTTTCCTTAACCAATTTTCATAACGGCATAACAACTAAAACTCTTTTGTAATCGTCTTATCATCTAAAAGTAAAGTATGAACAATATGAATAAAAAACAAACAGAAGAGCAACAAAAAGAATACTATATCAATATGGGGCTTCAAGATTTGAAGGGAAGACAAGTAAAAGCATGAAGAAACTAGAAAGGTCGAGATTGTTTTTAGTCTGAGGTTTGAGATAAAAACAACACATTAAGTAGTAAGAACAGAAAGATAAGGTCGTTAGTTACTTGCATATAAGTAACGTTTCTACACATCTTAAAAGACAACCAGTTTCAAGTATTTTATTTTACAACAAAAAGTAGTTAGTAGTTACTACTGAGATGATGAAGGTTTTTTGGCGTCTGTAGTAATGTCGATATCTTGTACACCAACAGCCAATGATGATGCTGCATCACCATTCACAGACTCTTTTCGCCTCAGTTCTCTTACTTTATGGAACTCGTCATAGTGGGCCCGCCTCTGCTCCTTGAACCTTGAACCCCCTCCTATTATTATTTATTATAATAATAATAGTTTAATGGCTGAATCCATAAAGATAGATAATAATTTGAAGTGAAAGAAAAAGTACCTTCATTATCTTCATCCATAGCATCCCCTTCATTCTCTGATGATGATGTCCAGCCAGAGCCAGAGGGATGTGAGCTAATAATATGTCTACTTGTATCATCCACCATTTCATTGAACACAGAAGGATGATATGATGATGCTTCTTCTTCTTCTTCACCATCCCTTTCAGAGAAACAAGGATTCCTTACAGGAGATAAAGATCCTGACACACAAATAATAATATCAGAAATAGCAACATACTTTCATTTCTTTCTATTCCAATTAGTAAAAAAAAAAAAGTTTAATTTATGGGGTCAATTCTGGCATACATGCATCAACTTACCATCAACATCAGAGTTCATACGATGATAAGGAGTCTTGGGTTCAGTAATTTTCTGCCTTTCTGGTTTGTTTGCTTCGATTTCTGATAGTTTTTCCTCATCCCACCTCACAGATCTCCGACTGCTCCAATAAAACAACAAATCAAGCAACAACAATAACATTCATGGTAAAAACTTGTAACATAGTCGTATGTATATTAATTTCAAACGCATCTATTTTAGTTGTAATCGATATTTATCATCTTTCCTTCCTGTAAACTTGATATCATATAGTCAAAAGATATCTTTCACTTTCTTTAACATTAGATTTTGCTCCCGTTGAATTTGCATATGCTTTATGAGAAACAAAATAATGATAAATCGACTTCATATCAAGAAATAATATTAAAAAGATATGGTATCATGGTCATTAAGTGATTACCGATGTTACATCAAAGGGGGTTTACTGTACAAAAGAAATACATGTTATATCTACTAGAACTGGAAATAAGATGGTTTAGTTTGCTATCAATCATTTTGCCTTGTCCAAAGGTCTTTCTGGTAAAACAATCTTCAAGGGGAAAAAAAAACAATAGAATATGATGTAGGTGGTTTAGTTGTTATCAAATAGATTGCATTCTCCAAAGTCCAAACAAGGTCTGACAATCTTGAAGGGAGAAAATAAAACCTTCATTATAAGAAAAGATGATAATAGAACATACTAGAGTAGAGTATGAAGTAAAAGCAGATGTCATAGAATGTTACCCCGTGTCTCCGATTGTAGACATTCTGATACGTAAGAATCACAAGAAGCAGCTGAGTAGCAGGTTTGCTGAAACAAGAAATATATGCACAGCACGTCACACTCGTTCCTATAGAATTTAGTTTTTCGTGATAATAAAGGTAAAAAAAACACATAACATGGATCTGTTTGAAAATTGGAAAACGAATATAATGCTTAATAATATGTGCATGATATATATAACCGCAACTGATACGTAAACATGAAAGCAAGCATGAAGAATACCATAACTATATTATTGGTCATTGTGATATTTCCAAAGATAGCCAAACTTAGGCACTCGATGTCATTGTTTTTCTCTAAACCTTTCATGATCAGATGCAATGCCAATTGTCCAACACTATATGTACTTTTAAGGCTTTGATAGTAAGAAGCACATCCAAAAATATGCAGCTATCCTTGATAGTTGTAATTAGCATTTGAAATCCAGTTGTCACTGAATAAGCAACTGTAATGTTTCTCTATATAAGCACATGAGTTATTGACCATTAGGACTGATTTTGCCTAGTTAAAGCTTAACTTCTCTAAAACACTGGTACATCGTTCCAAGAAAGCTCTCCAATTCCACAAAAGCAATTGAAAAGTCGGTCCAGATCAATTTCTGTTAACTGCACTTGCTATCATAGGTAAATTTATACGGACATATAACAGCAGAAAGAATTCAATGGACTTGATCGACAAGGACAAGAATTCAATGAACTTGTCTTAAGAAGACGTCAACACTTAGACTAAATGATAAATATAAACAATAACACAAAAACTCAAATTAACACTGCAAAAGATCTATCAGTTCCCCTCAGATGCCTAAACAAACAGCAACACTCGTCCATACCTAAATTATTCGCATGGTAGAGGATCGGATTTCAGATCACAATCACGTACAATAACCTAAAAAAGTGATCGCCCTAACATTTATCAATATACAATTACCGTGAAACAACAAGATCGAAGTATTCATTTGCGTATCGATTAGGTCAAAAAAAAACAAAACTCAATCGAAAATGGATGCAAATCCAAGACAAACAATCAACCAACCAGAGTTTCGTTTACTGTAGCGCAGGGAATGACTACGTCGACGAGCAGATCTGTTTGTAGCTTCTGCGTCGGTTGTTCCTCTCGAGAATCCAGACAAAGATTTCTCTCTATACTTTCCTGTGCCTTTATAAAGGCACCGTCAAAAGTTTTTACTAATTTGGTTTTTATGTTTTATTAATTTATAATAACTTTTTTTTTTTTAAATTCTACCCTCTATTCCTATTCTACGTCTAAAACCAATATACATTTTTAGGTGGGAGTTAAATCTACGATTTCATGGAAGAAGACAATTCACCACACTAATGTTTGATGTCTTTCGAATCGGTCTATTTTAAATTTTATTTTTGTTGGCTTTGGAGGCACATAAAATTGAATATTTATAAGTTAAAAATGTCCTTTAATTGATGAGTTGAAGAGTTACCCATTGCATGGTCATTAAATTATATAGACCCATAATTTCAACTCATTAATGGAGGTGCCATGTACTTAAGTCCATGTGTGTAATAATGAATTAGATGTGTTGTTTAAATTAGGAACCGATCAACATAGCTTTCTCATTCATTTACTCTAATGGTATACATGATATGTTTGAGAACATTGATTTTGTTGGAATGGGACAAAGATGAATGTTTTGTTTTTATGGAAAGATATACACAAGAGGCCCTAAGGAAAATCTCACATCTAAAAGACTACCTGAGGATGACCTAAATGTTGAGAATGACTGAAAACCTGAAGTGCAAACAACATTCAATGAAGTTGTATACCGA